TCTAAATCTTCCTATTTCTTTATTTTTCTAGCTTCTTTATATTAAAGATTAAACTTAATATTATATTTATTCTTTTATTAAGGTATTATTTATATTTAGTTAATAAAATTAATATTTAGTAATTTCTTAATTTTCTATATTTAAGTTAATATTCTTATTATTTATTATAATTCTTACTAAAATATATTTTATTTTATATTAAGTTATAGTATTATTTAGGTTATATCTACTATATTTACTTATTATTTTTTTTTCTTACTATAAATAAGGGTTATTTAGTTCTAAGATCAGGCTATATATATAATTATTATATATAGTTTTTAAAATATAATTTATAGCTTATACCTAAACCTTTAATATTATAAAAACTTAAATATTTATATATTTAGCTTAAGTATAAGTATTAATATCTTATTAAAAACTCTAATAAAGGCTAGCTAATATATAAGTTAGCTATAGCCCTAAAAGGAGATACTTATTACTACTAACTATAACTACTAACTATAACTACTAACTATAACTACTAACTATAACTACTAACTATAACTACTAAACACCTTATAATAATAATAATATTAGATATAAATATCTCTACCTATTAGGGCTTAATTAAGCTATATAACTAAGTCCTTATATATATAATAATAATTATTAGATATTATATAAGATAGCTTTATTTTAAGCTAATCTAGGATATACCCCTCTAATTAATTAAGGGCTTATTTATAGTAATAAAGCTACTTATAATAGTATAAATTTAATAGCTATATCTACTAGATCTATCTCTTTATTATATAGCTTATAGCTAGGCACTACTATAGGTACTTAAAGAGGATAAAATATAGTTAGATAGAATACTATATCTTAATAATAGCTACCTCCTTATCTATACCTATTATAACCTAAAATATAACCTCTAGTTTTAGTATATTATATACTATATTAAACTTATCTAGGTAGAAGTAGCCCTTAAAGATTAAGGATATTAAGCTAGGTTTTAGTTCTATATTCCTAATTAGGATTAGATTAAGGTATTAGAGAGTTTATATTAGGAAAAGTTTATTTATTAAAATATTTAAGAATATAAAAATATTAATTAGTTTATTATATTTAAGAGTATAGTATAGTATTTACTATAGTAGAATTTTTATTATTAGTAATATAAGCTTATTAATTCCTAATGCCTAGTAATTTATATAATTATATATTATATAGTGATATTTACTTATTATTATAAGTTATTTTCTAGGTTTTTTATAATAATACCTTTAAATATTAAAGAAGTATTATATTCTTTTAACTTTTATTAAAATTTTAATTTTTATTAATTTTAATATTAATTTATAAAAGTATCCTTTTACTTTATATAGCTAATAAACTAATTAATTAGTAAATTTATATCCCTTAGTTATAATAAGCTTAATATAACTTTATAAATACTTAATTATATTATATTATAAGTAATATTAAACTTCTTTCTTTAAATTTTAATTATAAGATAATTAATTTTAAAATTAATAATTCCTTAATTATACTTAAATTATATTCCCTTAGTATTTATTATTATATAAGGTTTCTCTTTTTAATCTTATAATAATTAATATTAATTAATTATTATTAATAAGATATAATTTTCTTATACTTTATAGTTTATTTATATTATAAGCTAGTTCCTCTTAATCTTAATATTTATAAGGATATTAAATAAGCTTTATTTCTTAATAACCCTTAAGGTCCTTTAATTAGATTTTAGTATATTATATTATAGCTTTATTATAAATAGTTCTTATTATTTTTTACTTAATTAACTCTTTCTTTTAGGTATTTATACTAATTTATATTTCTAAGTATATATAAGAAGAGTTCTTTAAAAGTATTAAAGTATTTTATATCTTTTAATATATATTAATAATACTTTTTTATTTATTTATTAACTTTATTTAACTTAAAGTTAAATATTATTTCTTTTTCTAAATATTCTATAGTTTATTCTTTTTTATTAATAAAGATTATCTTTTATTCCTTTATTTTACTACTTCTTTTACTAATTATTAAAGATAATTATCTTTTTAAATAGTATTTTTATAATTATTCCTCCTATAGTTAATATTACTAAAGGTATAACTTAATAATATTTATATTATTATTATTATACCTTCTTAATTTTAATACTTCTTACTTTACCTTTAAGTAGTTTTTATATTTTTAGTTATTATATTATTTAATCTAATTATTATATATATATATTACTTAATCTTTATAATACTTTTCTTTATACTATATTTTTATTTTATCTTCTTTATAGACCTTATATAAAAGTTTATAATAATATTTAGTTAATAATTCTTTAAATATATATTTAATAAGATATTATTTTAAATCTTCCTTAAAGATAGTATATAGCTTAATCCTATATTATAAGTAAGTAAAATATTATACTTAAGTAATAATATACTTATTAAGTATTTTTTTATTAAGATATAAAAAAAGGTTATATTTAATTTTCTTTACTTAATATATTTAGTACTATATATTATAATAAATTATCTAAGATTTTATATTATAGTTTTTTATTCCCTTAGTTTTTAAATAGCTTAGAATTTTATAGTTATTATAGTAATATTTTATAATATTAATTATAGTATTATTATATATTATTATTTCTTTATTTTATTTAAGGTTTTACTTTTATATCTTTCTTTAATAATAAGTATAAAGTTTATTATATTTTATTTAAACTTCTACTTATATAATAATATATTATTCCTTTTTAATTAATATTAATAGAATTATTTTATTATTATAGTAAAATATATATTTATATATAATAAAGGGTTTATATTTTAAAACTTTTTTTCCTTCTTTATATTTTTACTTTAATTCTTAAAAGATTTATTAAATTTAATATTATCTTCCCTTTAATATACTTTAGTCTTAATATTCCTTTAATTTTAATATTTTAGTAAAAGCTAATAAGTTTTATAAAGAAAATTTAAGAGTAATTATTTTTATTAATTCCTCTTTTTAAATAACTTTTTAGATTATACTAAAGGTTTTAGTTTTAGTTTTTTTTATTATTTTTAATTACTTTTTATCTTTCTTAATAAGCTTTTAATTATATTATTTCTTTAGTTTTAAATATTAAAGTAAAATATATTTAATTTTATTATAATTATAATATTTCTATTTTTCTATAGCTCTTAGCTTTATAAGATCTATATATATCCTAGAGATTATAGTTTATTACTATTAAGGTTTTCTAATATTAATATAATATATTAATTATTATTTATAAGTTTATTATTAATATTATTAATTATTAATTCTTATAGCTATAGTTATATAATTATAAATACTTATTAGCTTATTTTCCTTATAAAGTTCTTCTTAAACTTCTTTTTTAAGTTAGTTAAAATAATAAGATATAATATATTTATAATCTTATTTAGTTTTAATTAATAGCTAAAGGTACTTAATACTAAAAATTAAATATAATTTAATTTAAGAGAGTAAATTAATCTTATATTTTAATTTATATTTTTTATCTTAAATTCTAAAAGTCTTTTAAAGGACTTTTATAAAGTAATTAAAGTTTATTATAATATTTATAGTTTACTTAATTCCTTATTTACTAAAGTATTCTCTTATAATAAGTTTAAACTAATTAAATATAATTCCCTTAAGTTATAAGTAGGTATAAGTAACTTACCTTTTATAGGTATTAAAGGTAATAAGGAAGTAATTAAAGTATACTTAAAGTTATATAATAAATCCTTAAAGTTTATTTTAAGTTTTATTAAATATCTTAAGTAATAATAGCTTAAATAGCTATTTAAGCTTCTATTTATAAGCTATAGCTTAAGCTTAAGCCTAAAGGTTAATATTCTATATAGCTTATTATCCTATAAGGTTAATTATAATAACTATCTTTTATTATATAATTATAAGGTATTCCTAAAGCTATATAACTTATTCCTAAAAAAGTTATACTTTAATATTATTATTATTTTTATTATTATTATTATTATTACTATCTTTATCTATAATATTATTATTAATAATAGGGTTAATAATAATAGTAAGAGTATTATTCTATTAAACTAAGTTAACTATAATAGCTATAATATCTTTTTATTATTATATAGTAATTAAGATAAGGTAATTAGCTAAATAAGAGTTATTAATATATAATAGTTAGTTAACTTATATTAAACTAGGTTTAAGGTAAGTTAAGGATATAACTAATTAGAGATATTCTAAGTAGTATAATTAAGTTATTATAGGCTATATAATATAAGTTACTATTAATATATAAATATTATAAAGCTAGTAATAATAAATATATAGATAATTATAGTATAATTACTTTATTAATAACTATCTAAAAGAGTATTTCTATTTAAGAAATAAATATATATATATACCTAGTAGCTTATATAGGCTTACTAGTAATTTAGAGTAAGTTTATCCCTAGATTATAGAGGCTTATTAATAATCTAAAGTAATTTACTTTTAATTAGCTAAGTTAGGAGAAAAAGTAAAGTATAATATATAATTCTTTATAGAATATATTAGTTTATAATAAATACCTTCTTTAGAAAGTAAAAGAATTATATAAATCTAATATTATAAAGCTAAAAATTAATATAAGTAATTTAAAGCTTATTAGATTTATAAAGGCTATTATTATCCCTAAGATTAATTAACTTAATTAAACTAAGGTAGATAATCTATTTAAAGAGTAGGTTATAGTATTATTTAACTTTAGCTAAGATATTCTTAAGTATATACCTTAGGATAAGCTTAATATTAATATTATCTTATTATTAAAGAGTAAGGGGTTAAAGTAGTAGGTATTTCTATTATTTAAGGCTAGATTACTATAGTTATCTATAGTTATCTATAAGAATAAGTAGGGTAGCTAGTAGTACTAATAAAAAGAGAGGAAGGGATTAGAGATAGTAATTATAGAAATACTATTAAGATTTTAAAACACAGTGAGGGGTAAGTTCCTCCACAAGGAGGCCCAAGAGATTCTTTACGGGGAGAATAAATTCGTCATTCGGTCGCATCATAAGCAAGCAGGAGATCTTGATATCTTGAATCATCTCTCCCTAGACGCATTGAGTGCCATGCGCTGCCTCATGGTCCGCCTGAACAGCTGGCCGTGCATTCGAGGGCATAGTGATGCCAACCTGGACGAAGACTGCAATGAATGCAAGATCTGCTCATTTCCAGTCCCATTGAGTGACCCGGAGATATCGACTGCTAATAGCGATTTTAAATCTATTATTCAAACGTGGACGACAATTTGCCAGCGCCTGTCGACTGGGGTCTCTCCCGGGCGGCTTCACTTGGAATTCATCGCCGATGTTCGTGATCTACCAACGGCTAAAAGGTTGGCAGAGCCGCTAGGATCCCTTCCACGCCTCCAAGGGTGCATAGTCCGGTTCGGGAGAAAACCAAATCACACGCTCTCTTCTCTTGCACGCTCCATAGCTAGCAGGCTCACACACAAAACCGAAGAGGCAGCTACTTCTGGTCGGACAGGTCCTTTCTTTTCTTCTGTACCAAGGGAGATCCGCCTTCATATATATACTGAAGCATACAAATATCGGGCCCTGGGGTTCTTTTCTCCCCGAATTGGATGCTATCCATGTTATGAATAAGACGTTTGATCAGCGATACACCTTGGCGGGCAAAGGCTCCATAATCCCTGTGCGGCGTTGCTGTCATTACTGTTCTTTTACCAAACTTCACTGCTCTTGCCCTCTCAACTATGCGGCCTATAGCCCTCAGTGCCAGTGCCGGGTGTTGCCCCTCGAGCTCTTCCTCGTCAGCCGCCAGATGCGCCTCGATGCTTCTGAAGTCTTCTATGGGGCAAATGTGTTCCGGTTCCGCGGTCCCTTATACACAGCAAATGCTTGAGTCTATTTCGAACAAATCGCTCAAAATGTTCAGATGCATCGAGTTTGAGCTCAACCTAGGGCAGACGACCGACTGGGATGAGCACGATCCCAGTTGGCGGTCTCTCCTCTCCTTCATTGGGAAGAATTGTGATCCCTCGAGACTAGCGATAAAAATACTCGCAAAACAGGACTATGAATATGTTATGGAGTGTTCTGATGACGAGGGACCACTGCGGCAGCTCTATGCTACATATATCAGAATCGTACGTGGAATCAAAGCCAATATGCCCGGTCTTCAAGACCTCCATCTATATTTAGGGGTTTTATTTGATCTGGAACCAGTGTTGGAGAGATATGTTATGGGGCCGGGTTATGAAAGTAAGAAGGGAAATAAGTATTCAAAGGTCGCGCATAGCTCTGAACTACACCCAGATGTACACTCAAGCTTACGCAAGATCTCTTATTGGCATGAGGAGCTTGGAGATTTCTCCGAAGAGTAGGAAGACCAATTAGCTAGCACATACTTCAACAAGGCTTCCAGTGTTTTCTCTTTCAATTTAGACTATGTCAGACAGGTCGAATCGAGCATTTTCCACTGAAATCTGAACGAGATCAATTCAAAGATTTATGAGTCTGGCCTCCTGCCCAGAAGAGAGCTTGCTTTAGCCTCTCCTCACAGCCACGTTGCCTTTCCTTTTCTGCATAAAACCTGGCCTTCGAAATATCATCTCTGCTGTACCCCTGTTCCCCTCTTTGAAGTAGAATATCAAGCACACTGACCCTACCATGCTCTGCCGCACCTTCAAGAGCGGTTCGGCCATCCTCGAGAGCTGGTGCGGCGTGGATTTCAGCTCCGTTGTCCAGAAGAAATTCGACAACTCGCACACTGCCGCTAATTGCAGCAAGCTGTAGAGCGGTTGCGCCTCCTCTCTTGGCAGGAGGAGCATTGATGAGTGCGCCTTTAGTCACTACAAACTCCACCATCTCGAAACTGCCCATCTCGCAAGCTTGCTGTAGAGGTGTTCGTTTTACACCGTATAGTGCCGGACGGTTAATTTGTGTACCAATCTGTAGGAGAAACTCCACCAGTTGCAAGTTGTTGCCTTTGATAGCCTGGAGGAGCGCAGTCATTCCGTCTTCATCTTGGAATTCTAAGCCTGCCCCAGCATTGACCAAACGACGTACGATTTCGACGCCCTCCGCTTGATTTTCCCGGCACTCTGCAATCACATCAACAAGGATGCACCTTTCCCCAAAGTCAACCCAATGATTCGGATGCACCTTTAATTTCAGCAATAAATCCAGGCTAGCGAAACTGCGAGCCTCGATGACTCCAAATACACATTTTCTCCCGAAATTCGGCTTTCCCTCTGGATACCTTGCGGCAAAGGCCTCCACAAGAATCTCCAATAGTGAAATATTACGATTCTGAACAGCGAGTGAAAAAGCGTCTTCATCCGCAGGATCGGCGCCATGTCGCAGCAGTAGATTCAACAGATTCGCGTCACCGACTTCAATTGCCGCGGCAAGACATCCCGGTTTGGCGCCTCGCTCCAGGAGGATGGCTGCCAGCTCGATATTGCCATTTTCGACTGCTTTCTCGAGTGCATCACTCAAGCATTTACTATCCAGCTCAAGTAGGGCCTCAACAGCGTTCGTGTCACCCTGTTGCACAGATGCCATGACGACTGTTTTGCGAACGTCGAAATCATCAGCAATGTCAACTATTGTTTGCACAAGTTCGTCATTCCCGCTTTTAAGCGCCGCTTCCACCACATCCTCATCTCTGGCGGATAAACGTGCGGCATCGTGGCTGATGATAGCAATAGCCATTTCGAAGTGGGACAACTCTATCGCCTCAATAATAACGGCATTCCATCTGTAAAAGTTGGCAGAGGCCGTCGAAAGAAGCTGTTTCAGAAAAACACAGTCACCTACTTCCACTGTTGCGAAGAGTGCAGCAGTGAAGTCTCCCCGGTGTACCTCAAATATTCTATTCAGCGCCCCATATTCCTCAAGGCGCTTTATGAGACGGGCATCTTGCAATCGTATTGCCTCAGCCAGGGGTGTCGTTGGTTTACCGCAATGTCCTGAATCGAAGGGATGAGACATGCCATCACAACATGGAGCATCCCCGTGGCTCAAGGCACCCTGCTCCAAGAGCGAGTCCACCAGATCAGTTCGCCTACTGCGAATGGCAGCCGCAAGATTGCCTTGATCTGGTTGGATTATACTCAGAAAATAATCTGCCAATTCAAACTTGTTGCTCAAAATCGCCCGGTTGGTAACATAGTTCAACGATCTGCTGGTTTTATGACCCGTGCACCCCATCCTCTCGCAATTTGACAGCAGCTTGCTGATGATCTGCCTTGCCCTCTGTGGCTCCAATTTGTCCACGATGGAGCACAATGCCACGAGTTTTGTGGTATGGAAGTCTTGATCCCGTATGCGCGGCGGCTCAAAGATTTCGGCATGACGGTCTGGAGGCACAGCTTGAGCCAACAGTTCCAGTAGCCGATCACTAGTTGTCATAAAGTAACGAGGATCCTTGAGCAATCGTGTAACCATTACCGGATGATTGTCTAGTATCAATTTCACAATCTCAGCCGCCTCGCTCACATTACAAGCGGGATCAGGTTGCGTCCTCATGTATTGGTATTGATCCCTGCGCTGTCTGTACTGTCCGGGCTGTTTGTACTGCTCGTATATTACAGTCAGCGGGCAATCGCAGATATCACAGTTCCGGCAACCGCGAACACGTTCAATTCCGCATTCACAAGTGAAACACTGTCCGCCGACTTTGGCACCATGCCGCAGCAATTTCCGTACCATAGCGGGGCGATGCAAATACGCCGCCAAGGCCAGGGCCGAAAATCGAGTGTAGCCTACTTCACAGACTATCTCATTGATATCAACCACGTTGGCTTGGCCGGAGGTAGTGTCAAGGATAATGCCGACTAATTCTTCATCGCCAGCTTCAACAGCAGCACGAATGAGATTGTCAGCTAGAGGTTCTGAGAATTTGACGTTCTTCGATTGAAGACAGGTCACGAGGTCCGACCTCGCCTTGGAGAAGCTCTTCAGCATGCCCAAGATAATAGCCCGCGGGATATTTTTGAGCCCAGCAAAGTTGTTGGCAATAGAAAAGATGACACGCTTGAACACTTCAGATGTTGGAATAGCCCGCTGGGTCATCAGGCTAGACCCCTTCGACATTCCCTGACCACACACATAATCATAGAGCAAGGATTGCAGGCTGTCTATGATGTGCTGAGCTGAGAGAGATTGCATATCAATGCTCAGCCTCAAAGCAGGGTCTTTAAAAATACCACCAAGCGTAAAAGTGATGAGGTCTTTTGAAAGAACCAACTGGGATTCATATAGTGCCGGGGCTGGAAGTCGTATACAGTTATAGATGTCGCTCATCATTGAGCTAGGTGGATCCCAAACCTTAGAGGCAAAGGCCAAGGATTCCAGATTTACAGTACCAGGGGCTGACACTAGTAGGTGGTCACTTGAGGATGCTAATGGAGGGTCGAGCTCGTTTAATATTAAATCGGAATTCTCAACCCCGGCAGCACTCGTCAAAGCCAATCCATTCATATCGGAATGTGATGACCCTAGACATGTATCTTGAAAGATTTCTTGGCCAAGAAGAAAGCTTGGCATTGACTCAAAGTCTTCAAAGCTGAGCATTGGTGAAGATAAGGACGGATGGACGTAAGTAACCAATTGGGAGCTCGTCGTGTTCTCTCGGTATTGGCCTAAATTTCTGGTAGCACTCTCTTGTGCGGATTGATTTTGGATGGCGGAAGGAAAAGTGTTCGTCTCGCCTAGAGACAGGGCTATCGAGGGTGAAGGCTCTCTATTATTCGTCCCTAAATGTCTACCAGAGTGATCGGTATATTCGCCATCATCACGACAGTATTCGATGCGCCAGAGACGAGTCTGTTCAGAGAGTGTCAATAGTGCTAAGAAATATAGTGTTAGTATCGTACCGTTCAGAACTACTTTGCTCTCACTCACCATCGCTCTCATGAATCCTCTCATGGTCTGAAGTAAGATAGCGGCGTGCTTTCTTGACTTTTCTTTCATCGAGGACCTGGTCACCGAGCCTTACACGGGGCTTCAGGCCGCGCTTTTCGAGGTCATTGTAGATGGGTAGAATCGTTTCCCAGTCTTTTCTCTTAAGGTTCTTGGCTGCTTTCCATTTTTTGAGCTGTATTTCATACTGCGCCGCCCTGAAGATCGGTTAGCATCTTACCAAAGGTACATTAAGGGCAGCTCAGGATTCACTGGCTTTGAGCCAAGGTGAAATCTAAAGAGACTCAACCGTGCTATAAAAGGCAGGCCGAAACAACCCTAGCACTGCGTTTACATACGTCGCTTCAAACCCATGGTCCTCTTTCATGACCTGAACAATGTTTCTAGATTTTGACCTAGCGGCGTCGAGCGGAAGGCTTTCGTCGAAACGAAGTTTTAGAATGGTGTCTTTGTGCCGTGACCACACTTCATCTGGGATGTCTTTGGAAGAGGAAGCCATGGCCAAAGATCGGAGCCTTCGGGTATGTTAATAAGCAGTGATTTGTGGCGAGTATCTTCAAGATGTCTCTGATTAATTCAAGCCTTCAGATTGTACCAGACATGGCCTAGTTCTTATACCAAATTCGGACTCCTCAGATTTTGGCCTACAGATTTTGGCACTCCAGATTTTGGCATGTTGGGCAGGTAAGGCTTTCCATGTGCCCACTCACACTTCCAGCTGCCCAATGGACGCGTGACGCGTGTAGCTCTTGATTGGCTTTTTTGCACAATTATAACACACCAGTACTGCACGGTAAGATTAAGACGCACCTCAGCAAGCCACCATGATAGGTTGTGCCCCTCACTCACGAGGTAAGCGAATCTAGCCACCAGGTTTTACTTGAACCTGCCGGTCTCAGTGCACCAGTATACACGAGTCAACGAGTTAAAAAGACATGACAAGCTTTTAAGTGTGTTTCGGCGGATTGAGGTGGGAAGCCGACGTGTGTAGATACGGCGACATCCCTCACCAACCGATCAAGTCCACCAACACAACTAAATAACCCGCTGACCGATCGAGTGAATGGAGAGGGGCTGACGATGCAGGAGGCAAAGCAAGGAATTGCATGTCTTACATTGTCCGCCTCACCGTCGATCTTTTCCCAAACCACGAGATGGGTGCGCCTTTCTCTTCAAAAGGGTCGAGGGCCGCCACACTACTATGATTGGCTTGGGTGGCTGCGAAATCGGTATTTACTCAGTGCCATTCTCAGCCAATAAATGGAAGGAAAAGAAGATGTGAAGATGGGAGTTGAGTAGCGAAGATGGTTGATCTTCTGGGCCGGAGCAAGTCAACGTCGCGTTCCTGGCCAAACAGTTGCACAAATAGAATAAACGCTAGACTTTAATGAAAACTGAGCATCTTGAAATTTTCCCACAGACTTGAGTTAAACATAATTTGGCGGCGTCCATTTGTTTTTGGAATTGAAAGGGGTCAGATACTCGTGTGGTATATAATGAAGCAACAACGTTCGTCGGTCTCCTGCAGCTGCGCGGATGAAGTAGATAGGCCCCATGAAGCACCTCATGAAGAGAAATGCGATGTGGTGTGACCAAGCAGCGAGGATGCCAATGGTCAGCAAATCGTAAAGGTTGAGAAATAGGACAATTTTGAACAACATCCCCGCGCCTCACGCGAAAATGAGCAGGGAGGCAGGGCGGAAAGGATTCGAACCAAGCCAAATGGAGAATCGCGGCAGATAAACAAGAACAGAAATGTTCCGCGGGTCAGCGATTTCCAGGTCGTTCGTGGGCCAAGACACAGCTTTTCTTGTTGCTTCTAGCCTCAATTTAGTAGACCTTAGGTGTGGTTCGTCTTAAAAAGTAAGATCTCGTCAACTCAGCCCGAACAATTGCAAGGCGACGTGAAACGGCCTTGCTCCCATGAGAAGGCTCATTCTTACATGAAGACGAGCCCAGACTGTAATATTTCATGGTCTCATTCCCCGCTCTTCTCATTGAGTGAGAGTGGGGGACAAGATGCATGACACAGCCAAGAAATATCTTTGGATTGTTCCCCTGGCAGGACCGAGCTTAGAGTGGTCTGTCCCGCATCCTTTCAAACCAAATCGAGGCTAGATGCGGATGTTTCGCCCAGGATAGACGTTCGCTAAATCGCCAACCGGGTTGTAGACACGTTATCCACCCCTGTTTGTGTTGCTGCAATGCTACCCTCTCTCTTACCCATTGCTGGTAAATTTGATTTCTTGTCCTCTTAATTACTCCTTTCCTCGCTTCTTCTCGCTTAATCTTCCTCGTGGTAGTTCTATCATCGCACAGTAACATAACGCGCTCTGTGTTGCGGCATTGGCCGCCATATCAAGATGCTGCGTTTCCAACTTTTGTTAGTGCTGGTCCTAGCCCTTGCAACCGGGGTGCTGGGGATAGAAACGACGAGTATCCTAAGCGAATTGAAGAACCTTCCCGCTTGCGGTGTGAGTTGCTCCTTTGATTCCTTACGCGTGGAGTGAAAGATGATCAATATGCTAATCATCGTTGAACCCAGACAAATTGCTTTACTTCCGTTATCAACGATACCCCGTGCGATATATTCAACGCTACTTGCATTTGCACCGATCCGACCTTCCACGATGCTGCACAAGACTGTATCACGTCTAATTGCCCTGCCCAGGAGGCTCTGAGTACGTTTTTTTACATGGTTGCAATGGGCACTGGACGCGATGGAAACTGATTGAATAAACGCCAAAAGACGTCAGCAAGGTCGAAGCGAGAGTTTGCGAGCGGCCATACAGAACACGTAAATACGTATTATTCATACCCATGATGGTCGAGGGCCCGTCGTGGTTTTGTCCCTGGATTCGATTATACTCGAGGTGGCTCACCTTGGGACGGTGGGAGCTTGATGACTGGGTCATGTTGGGGATTGGAGTGAGTCGCCTTTGGAATCTCAAGATCACCTTTCTATTTAGATTGGTTAACAGGGCTTTTAGATGCTTTACTCCGTGTTCTTGGTCCTCGGCAAGTATAGTGAGTTACCTTCATCGATTGAAAGAAGGAAGCCTCTAATATCATTGGATTGTAGCTGGGTATCTGGCCTTCGGGATCGACATGTGGAATTTGGAGTACGAAACGATCACTACCGCTCTAAAGGTTAGTACAAGGGAGAATCTGAGGTGTGGATGACTTTAGTAACTAACAGCCAGTAGTATTTCTACATTTGCGAGAGTTTCTACATCCTCTCTCTTGCCCTATGCAAGGTTTCCGTCCTGTTCTTTTACCTCCGCATCTTTCCCTCTCACAAATTCCTAATAGCGACATACATTTCCATGGGCATCATCATGGTACCATCCGTCGTTCTCATCTTTGTACAGATATTCCAATGCAAGCCGATCCACTGGGTATGGCATGGCTGGCGATTGGCCTACTACAGAGATCGCTGCATGGATATACACACAATCACCTTCGTCGCCGCCGGTCTCAACATCTTCCAGGACTTGGTGGTGCTCCTTCTGCCACTGCCATCCTTATTCCGGCTGAAGATGGAGAAGAAATCCAAATGGGGCATCATCGTCATGTTCAGTCTGGGAATTTTCGTCACCATCACTTCTTGCATACGACTGCGCTATATTTCACTATTCGGTCGATCCGCCAATCCGACGTGGGAGTATCCAGAGGTCCTAAACTGGACAGGAATTGAACTCTCCGTCACCATCATCGTAGCATGCTTGCCCGCGATGTGGGTTCTTCTGAAGCACTTCTTCCCGTGGATCGGGACGACCGTATCGAGCGGATACAATAAAGATAAGACGTCGGGCTCAAAGGGCGCATTACGGGCGACTAAGGGCGTTGAAAGTCAGAAAGGGTACTTTAAGACCAAGAGCCGTGACAGAAGGAATGAAAGTCAGGTTGAGCTTGGGTATGAGATGGAGTTGGGGGACAGATCGCAAGGTGACGTTCAGACCTTGGTGTCTCAGGACCGGAGTCCTCGCCCAGATCAGTCGCGCAGAGTGCTGGAAAGAAATGATGATGGAATCATTCATGGTTGTGAAAACGGTCACCACAACCTCGAGATCATACAGTTGATGATGCATATTGTGTATATTAGTTCCGTTATGAGACGACAAATTAGATATATGCCTATAGACAAATGTACATATTACACAAATTGAGGACAAAAATATCCTTTTCTATGATCTTCACACACCATAAACAGGTTGAACGGCCGCCTTGTCCCGACAGTTCTCTAGAACTAGTCACAGGATGCGAGATTCCCCATTTCTTGCTGTGATGTCAATTATGGGTGCCTAAACGCACATTGGCAGTTGATCTCGAGTTAGCCAATCGCAGGAATTTCTAAGCCAAAAGAAAACGAATGTTGACAAAGACGGGCTAGCCATGCTCCTATCCCCGCATTTGGGTGACGCTGCTCGTTCGTATTCCCCGGGTTTCTCATCTTCCAGCCGGGACCGTGAATAATAAGCTTGCGCCCAGCCTCCTAGCAAGCCTCATTTTCACCATGTCAACTGGATGAGGTAGCCTGATGAGTTGGCTAGTACTTAAGAATTATATCTTCCTTCTTCAAATAGATGCTCTTCCATAGATTCTCATCAATTCCTAATAAAGATTTTACAGAGACACGCACTCGCTCATATAATCAACTCAACCATGAGCGCCATGGCAGCTAAAGATCCAACAACTAATAAGAGAATATTCCGGCTTGCGACGAAAGCGTTCAAGTCCGGGTTCAGTTATTTGGCAGTGGAAAGCATCAAAACCACGAGGGCAGAAGCTGGCGAGCCTGCATTTTCCGTCAAGACTGCCCACTGGAAGCGTCATTACCCAGATTTCACACTGTATGTTGGCTCAGACCCTGACGCCCCAGATGCATCACCCGTGGCATGTGCCTACCTGCCGGGCATGTTTCGGTCAAGCAAAATAGGTCTAGGCAATGTCAAGAGTGCGCCAGAGACGGTTCAATGGGAAACGATGAAAAGCAAGAGTTTTGGTAGCACAGATTACGATTGGTCCATGCCGCTGGTATCTGGCAAACACCAGGATCTGCAATGGAAGCGAAGTAGGGAGCATGCCATCGACGGCAAAGAGCCGGGAAAGGGGCGAAGCTGGATTCTCGTGGAGTCGGGGGACAGTGATACCATTCATGCGATATTTCGAATGCATGGAGGAATTGACCACTGCGCCACTGTCCAGATTAATATGAATCAAGGGTCTGAGTTTGATTACATGGTTCTCATCACCGGGATGCTTTTGTAAGTGGCCAGCACCAAGGCTAGGTTTCTTCTCAGGTAACGCCGCTGACAGTCTTTCAGGTATTCATTTTCGACCATGTAGCAGCATATATGTTATGCAGAGCGATATGTTGGTTATAGTGACTACCAGGGGGCCAATTGATCTTCTACTTGATACAATAGACGGCATCGTGTAATTGTCTATAGTACAACAGAAGCGTGGATTAATCACCCTTTATAGCCTGGAAGAGAAAACTTTGCTGCCGATTGACGACATCAAACATGACAAGAACTGGAAACCACGAGGAGTAATGCGTGTTTTAGACTCCTCGTTTCATATTCCCAGGCTCCTCTAGGCTGACCTTGGAACTCAGTTAAATGTTCTCAAACTCCAGTTGATACTGATAGTCGCCCTTGGTTGAATAAATTCCCGCCGCGACGAAGAGTCCAACAGAGGACCACATGCATACGCTCCACACGGCGCTGCGAATCCAGTGTGTCTCGCGGATCCCGCCCAGGTTGATGTAGACGAAGTTGTAAACGACACGGAATCCGACGTATCCCCAGCTCAAGGCATTAACGACACACGTAGGGGCACCAGCCTGGTTCGCGGCAGCCACGCCGGCAGCGAAGAGGCCGATAGTCTCGTAATTGTTTTCGGATGCCCTCTTAGCGCGGATAAGACGTTGCTTCGTCTTTCGGAGACGACGTGTTAGGAACCGAAGATTTATAGGGAGGGGCTGACACTGTTACCTCTTCATCAAGGGTGCCTGTGGAGGCGATGCTGTCCTTCAGCGCTCGTGGATTGGAATTGTCGTAGGCACCTTGGGAGGCGACCACTGAGTAGAGATGCGGTATATGTGCACAGGCGAAGGCAGCAGGAACCTGGATCAGGAAACATTGATTAGTTACTCCTACATTCAGGAAGCTTCTTTCGCGACGCGCTGTGAGCTGAGCTTTGAGCTCGATGGATGCTTTGCTGACGCGTCTGAACTTACCGCAAAGTAGGAGATGTGGTTTCTGGCGAAACTGAGCCCGAGTGACGTAGCCATTTTGCTTGAAAGTCGCGCTTCTTGGTGCGTCGGCAAGTCTGAGTGATACGGGGGATGATGATTATTGCCGGGATTGAGGGTTGTCGTTGAATTTATTCTCAGCAGACGTCAGCAATCGGATTGGAGTTGAAGAACGGCCGAGGTCACCCGAATTGTCTGTACAGCACCGTCATAGCAGGGATGTTTCAGTGCTGTGCCCCATCGACTTCAGGGGTATTATCACACTTTTGAGGGGCGCAGCGTGTTAACCGAGTTCACATCACCAAGTAACCACTCCATTGCTAGGCACTAACCCCAGACCCGTTTCATTTATAATATTTAATAAATGGTACAAAACAGTATCATGCCCGAGTGCCTTGACGATCGGGTAAAGGAGGTATGTACCTGAAATCAGCAGCACGTGGGTCATCCACCCACAATTATTTGCGGCATTACAGAGGTTCCAAACGGAATATTACCGATCAACTTATTGCTGAAAGGAAGCTTATCCGGCGGAAGACAGGCCCGGCAATCGGATTGTTGGACGGAACATGCTGCTTTGTTGTACCGGGATTCTTGCACTCCGGCAGTTACCCGCTAGAGCCGTATCACCACAGCGTCATGGAAATTCAACATCAGGCAATGAAGCGCCTATTGTTGAAAGATCAGTATCGTAGAAAATCAGACCGCCTTTAGGAACTAGCACGAAGTCATTCATCGTCCCAAACGGCACGCGACATACGATGCACATGGCAGCGGAGTCTGAATGGGCGGCGACAGTCATTTGATAGGAGGCTTCGGGGCTCTGTAGGGGATAATGACAAGAGAACTACAATCACTCACCTACCTTGTATCATGAGAAATAAGAGGTAGTGATTAGTAGTGAAAGCTCACTTTCGTGTGCTCACGTTCATTGTTACTCTCTAGATCCGATCTTCCGTCGTATCTCCTCCTCATACAATTTCTAGGAATAGTCCCAAGAAGGTATTGTTCCAAATAATAATACAATCTTACACTTCTTGCCACTCCGATTAGTTAGGTAATCTCGTCAGCTGAGAAAGCGAGCAAGGAGGGTTGGTTACTTAAATGTTCTCAATAGAAATCTTATTGTATTATTCACTATCTCAATATGATGTGAGATTAACCACGAGGGCGTTCACAGGATCACTGCCGCGTCGGCTTGCATTGGCCAATTGCAGGGCTGATGACTACGATGGTCAATAAATGTAACCCTACTTGAGAGCAAATATTGAAATCTTGGTCAGGCGACCTCCCAAACTAAATGATGCTTTCTCAGCCTCACAATAGAATTGCCATAAGCCTACCTAGAGAATCTAAGTATAAATATGTCTTTCAATTTCTCAGGTTCGATTTTACTCACCATTAGTCGCTCCGAGTAAATCAGATCTCAGACCTCTCTAATCCGAAACTGCTCAATCGATACACGGCGTTCTTTATCTAAATTATCAAAATGCCTTCTCTCAAGATTATTCTTGCCGTTGCCGTTTTCGGTGCCGCTCAATTCTCGGTTGCCGCTCAAAACAATGGCGGCAATTCCGTTGAACTATTGGAAGAGCGGGATGGTATGTAGAATCAAACTGTCTTTTATGTGCAGGAAGGCAACCACTAATGACAACTGGTTTATGACAGCCAACACGTTGAACGGATTCGGGTCGCCCTCGCACAAGAGGACTAGAATTAGAAACAAGGTCAATGGACCTGGCGCAGGAACCAAGAGAAGCAGGGGCAAACAAGGTGGAAGAAGAAGCCCTAGTCGCAACCGTCTGTTTGAGCGTGCAACATGCGAGGTCAGTAGCAGATCGGGGCAGGACTGTCCTCGATCGACGTGCCCAGACTCGGCCTGCGTCATGGGAAATACCAGATGTGGTTTCACCGGCGAAACGGCGAAAAAGCAGGATTGCAAGACCAAATGCAAGTGCACCAAAGCCAAATAGGGCTCTGGGAAGCATCATGTCAGCTGAGATGGTTGTATTATTCTGAGTTTTGACATTTCGATATGACTTTGTCTCATCTGTATAGTTGGATATTTTGTTGGTATTTATGTTTTATTTCTATTTCTATCATTCCATTTTATTTTACCTACTCAAAGGAAAAGAAGAAGTAGAAGGGAGCAATCCAATCTTCGCTTCATTGTCCATGGCGATTACTGGATCGATTCTTATTGCTAATTGCTGGATCAGTGACGGCAGTACTGCAAATCTTACACCCAGCTGATTTTTGCCCTGCCTCACCACAGACGTAGATGCGACAATCCGCGATCCGCATCAGAGGCTACACAGCTAATAAATACAAGGTTTCTGCTCCAGTTAGTGAGTCCCGTTTGCGACTGAATCAGAGTGGATGAGCCAATCACGAGCGCCAATGGCACCATCCCTTCAGATGACAAATGCCTCACTTCAGAATTCTTTCACTGCCATAAATTCCACTACAAAGCAAAGCTTCCATCTTCCTCATCCATAACTCAATTGCCCCCTGATTGTGATCAAGAACCCGCCTCCAAAATGCCCATCCTCAAGGACTTCCAGCTCCCAGCCTCGGCGGCTGAGCTCGACCTCTCTGGCAGCTCCAACTCGACCTTGTTCATCGCCTTCATCTCCTCCGCAGACCCCAGAACTGGTGCGCCGTGGTGCCCCGACGTCCGCGCCACTCTCCCTCATATCCGCGAGGCCTTTGCCAGCGCCAGCACCCCAGACCTGGTCATCGCCGAAGTCGGCCAAATCCCCGAGTACGTTTGCAGAGGCGAAATGATGGCACCAGGTTGCTAACATCCTGTTTAGATGGAGGGACTCGAAGAACGTATTCCGTACCAAGTGGGATGTCCACAACGTTCCTACTCTGGCCCGATTCAAGTTGGTGAACGGCAAGGTATCTGAGAAGGGCCGGTTGGTCGAGGGAGATCTTCTGGATGCCCAGAGGCTCAGCGACTTCATCAAGCCGTAAAATCCCTAGTGATGCGAAGATCAAGTCTGGGAGTGGCACATTGGCACTAAGTCGGAAATCCACGTATTTGTCTGGGTTATCTTATAGATCAAGGAGGGACCAACTTCTAATGAATGAAAGATTATAGACAAGTGTATTGCTCACTCATACCACGGATGTGAACCCCCTCTCTTCCTCATGTCCATACTAAACTTCATCCTCCGAGGCCTCAAGACAAAAGACAGATTGAATGTTGCTCGTGATGAATTTGTCGTTATTCCCCTTGAATTTTCCAGCGGATCTCTCACAATCCTCAGACCTACATCAGACTACTTAGTACCTAACAAGAATATTCAGGTTTAAGCTAGCGACTGTACTTACTTAAAGAACTCGCATTCGACGTTTGACTTGATTACGTAGGAATGAACGTTGTACCAACTACATCACGTTAGCATGCAAGCGGATACGAAGCCTGGATCACTTACGCATCATCCTGTTCGGGAATGTTGATACAGCGGCCAAGATCATTGATGATCGTAGGTTTACCTTCGAATCCCGAGGATGGGTATAGGGATGCCTATGATGTTGATGTAATTAGAAAAGCACTACACCATAGTCACTTGTCCGAGCTTCTCTTGTTACCACGTACCTGAGGGGTTAGGTCACAGAGGGCAAAGGCCGCAAAAACAAGCGTGAAGAGAGCCGGAGACTGCATTGTTAAAGAAGGCCCCTGATTTCTTGACTGGATACCAGATATTTGACGGAGAGGTACAGAACGAGGTTTATCACGAAGGGATTGCTGAATTTGAGCGGGAAAAAAACGTACGAACCCCCTCGTTATAAAGGCGGCAACCCCCTTAATCTCCAGCAGCCGTCTCGGCTCCCTATGTATGCATATGATCCTAAAACGCAGTGACTCGAGAAAGACACATTCCAAAGAGGTAATAGCGGCGGTCACAGCCCAGTTAAGACACTTACCACTGCAAGTTTCAGTTGGAAGGACTCGTCGGGGCTTAGCTACCTCGACTTCAGCCGTGACGGGAAACACCTGAGACCTGCGTCAATGGTGTATGCGCCTCCCACAATACATCCAGCTTATTGGCCATAGCGCCCGTAAGCTGAATCCCGACTCTCCGAAGATGGGAGAAAGATCCTCCATCAATGCATGTCAGACGGTTGCATAACTAGTCACAACTTTTGATCGAGAATGAATTCAATGAATTGCATAAATACATTGACGATGGGTGCGTTTATCGCCCATTCAAGCTCGAGAAAGAGACCAGGGTGAAGAGGCGGTTATGATGGCCATTAAAAACCACTGAACATAACTCAAATTTCGATACTCGGCCTTCCTAAACCTTCTTCCTTTGGGAAGATAGATGCGTTCTTTTCTTGAGTCGCAACTTTGCTCGTCATCCCTCGACTATTCCATTATCCCATTCTTATCAGGGACTCAGAGCGCATTCTCTGGCGAATGTGCAAGCAAGTAGTGTACGATATTCTGTGAATTTTTGACAGCATATCATAATCGGATTACAATCGAAGCTAATTCGAAACAATCACCCTCCTATTATCAAAGTCACCTTTACGCTCCCCTGCCGCCACATCTACCATCCATCTGGCGAGACTTTCACGCGTGATGTGGAAGCCGAACCCCCTTTCCTTGAGACCAAACGTCTTCACGGGAACAACGCCCGCATCACTCAGGCCAACAGCATAGGCCATCGTCCACAGCACGTCGTCTTCGCAATTCCCTTCTATCTCACCATCGACAGCCGCGTGGTCCTTGTAAGTGTACGAAATATTGGTGTAGTCGAAGAATACGCGTGCGCACCACGGCAACACAGCACGGCTCTCGCCGGCCCCGATGGCATTCAACACGACCATGCGAGGCTTGTGAGCCCCCGGTCGCTGCTGCTGTTGTCGGCGAAGCCCACGAGCTGCCAGAGCTGCCGCTTCAGCCATCAGGCGAGGCGGGCCAAGGAACTTAGCCCAAGGGCTATCGGAGGCGCGATGGGGATTCAGAAAGTGCAGCGTAGCATCAACTGGGACGCCCGCGGCCGTCATGGCGCGTTCCATGTCTGTTTCGGACATGACTGAGCCTTCAACAATCGTGAGGTTCTCCTGGGGAGGGATCAATGAACCAGGGCGCGTGAGAACGGTTACGTGGTAACCTTGATATGTCACTACTTCATCCCATAGATGATGGTGGCCAGAGAGAGAAATACACAAACCTTGTTCGAGCGCATACTTGTAGCCATAAACACCTGTTCTCCCGGTGGCTCCCAAAATCAAGAGATGCATTGCAAAATTATTGTCTTTCTCTTCTCACTATTGGATCTCTCAAAAGGAGTCCTTGGTGATGTATATGTGTTGATGCCGAGAAGTGAAAATGAAGGCAAATATGCTGGCGATCTGATTTTGGTAGAGATAGGAGCCATGTCCTATGATCAATATTTATGCTTGTCAAACAAGGCTTCCCGAACTCGCCGCTTCCAGAGTCATGCGATTATTCGTAGGTGCCACGCCAGTTGTTCGGGTAGGCAACGAATTGGAGGATACAAGATGCGCGGCCATTCAGCTACCACATCACATGCACCCTACAGTTGATATGTGGCCTCCCGAATTAACGGCAGCAGTGGCAATCATAACCCAGGTGTGGCGTGAGGAGACAATCTTGGCACTCGCAAGCGTGAGTCACATCTGGCAGAATATTGGCCAAACCGACCCGAAAGAGGTATGTCCCAGCGAAGCTTGTTTTTGGGAAGATTAGCAGTCTTAAAGGTCTAGAATAGTCTCTTCATGTCTCCTAGTGAAGACAATCAAATACATGCTAACACCTGCACCTCAATATCGCCTACCTCCCCGTCATGTGTGCGGTTCCAACTACATCCCTTAAATGAATTTCGCGATATAAGTGATTTTTATTCTGGGGCTAAACCTCTTTCATTCAATAGATGTAACTACCGGTTGAGCTAAAGCGTCATACATACTAAATGCCTGAAGAATTGCAATATTGCGAAAAACTTGGGAAGTGTTAGAGCTATCCTATCGAGATCGAAATGCGCTTGATAGAGATACACAATATCATGAACATAGGAAAGTAAGACGCTGCAAGGTAAGAACTAAATAGTGGCAGATACCATATGCAGCATGTCTTGCCAGGTCAAAAGGCAGAAAGTTTACTCGCAATTGTATCCAGTATCGGGACAGTATTTCTTTGCTTCTTCGAAGCGTCTGAAGCGGAAATGATGTGTCAATTTGAAACGATAGTCAGCATCCTGGAGCCAATTACCGTGAGTGATCACGTCTTGGCTGGCTGGCGATCGAATAAAAATAATAACAATAAAAATAACCAATGGCTGGCAGCTTTGCTTTTGCTGCCCCGTGTTACAACAGCTGACTGCTGGCAACACTGCCTGTTTCCGCCAATTTCCCGTCTCTCCAGTGCCTTCTACAGTGCCGAGCGGCAGACAGAGTAAGCAACAGACGGTAGCAGCGCAGCTCGCCAGCCTGATCTTGCTGCAGGTTCCAGACTGCTACCCTTGTCCCGCCAACAGGCCTGAGACCAACAGGTTCGGCGTCCTGTCGTTCCCCCTCGTTGCATTTCTCCTCGCCATCCACGCGTCTCGGCGATCTCGCCTGCTCCTCCCACCTGTCCTGCGAAAGCACCGCACTCAGAGCCTCTCGCCGTCATCAATCCTCTACCATGAGTGAATCATCGCAAGCCAGCCAGAGTCCAGCGGAGGATTACGACTCCCCCTCACTCATCTCTCCCTCTCCCTCTCCCTCTCCATCACGCTCTGCCTCACGCTCTCCATCCAGCGAGCCCACGGTTGCCGAGCAGTCAAACGGCGCGGCTCGAGCCCAAAACGCCAAAAAGGAAGCGCCGGCCAAAACCTCCAGCTCTGCCGCCGCCGCCGCATCTGGCAACCGCATTGGAAAATGGACCTTTCGCAAGATCACCAACCACCGCTGGAGCGGCAACGACATTGAACTCCAGATCCACTGGGACGATCCCGATGAGATCACTTGGGAGCCAGAGAAGACCATCCATCGAGATGCCAAATCGGCTCTGATCAACTACTGGAAGCGCCAGCCAGAAGGCCGACCCTTGAACCCCCAGGACCCGGAATCATTCACCATCTTTGCCTTCAAGGGCGTCAAGCTCGGCCAAAAGAGAAAGCGCCAGATCCTCGTGGAGTGGGTTGGCTGGGCAAAGCCCACGTGGGAACCTGAGGCTGTCATCAAGGAGACGGCGCCAAAGGCTCTCAAAGAGTATCTCCGGAAGAGATCCGGAAGGCACTGAGGGGCGGCATGTGGGAGCAAGGAGGGGAAGACTGCCCACTGCGAACAGCAAGTTTGTTGGAGGCATTGTTGGGCAGCTGACGGCAAGGGAAAGAATGTAAACAATTAAAAGGTTTTCGAGATTCAAAACAAGTCATGCAAAGTTCTGGGGTATTTTACAGTGATTGATTTAATAACAGAGACAATTCTTCTACGTCATGGCAACATGTTTTTGTTGTCGCGACCCCAGTTCCATCTCCCTCCGAGGCTACGAGCTGAGGCTATCCCAGGCAATACCATCAAAAGAGGCGACTTCCACCACTGAAGAAGGATATTTTCCCATGGCTCAACCAGCCCAGATGGGCAGCGTGAAGGATACACGATGGGAACAATGTCGCCTGGAGGTGATGGGTGCCATCCTTCTCACAGGCCTGCCCAGCAACAGCAATCGGGAGCAGAACACCAGTTGCGAGAAGAGCAGAACATAGCAGAAGTGATTCAACCGTCCATATCAGGTTCCGAATCACAACCAACGAGCTTCCACAAGACATTCTTTGTATGTTCGTGAGCCTGGTGTGGCTTCGATCGTGGTTGCGTTCTCGTGTCGTCGTCAGAAATGGGGCTTTGCAGGCTTTACGGAAGCGTTGTCGAGGAAAGTTCTTTTCGCTTTCTTGTCACAGCATAGGCAGGCAGAGGTTCACACGACAACTCGCTAATGGTGCCATGTCTTGTCGGGGCAGGCAGCGTTTCTATTTTCGTCAACATCGCGCCGGGTTTAAAATGCCGTGGCCAGGGTGTGGCGGCTGGTCACCACAATCTGTCAGTATTTGGATCTCCCAAGGCATGGAACAACGTTACAGAGCGCTCTTTCAGTGCTGGCGTGGTGCCAAAACGTGCCAAACGGCCGAGGGCGTTTCCAGTGGCAGGCTCGCGTCACAGCCTCGAGTTGTGTTGATTTGTTGATTTGTTACTCGCGTTGCACCAGCCACACGCCACAGTCTCAGCCCCAATGCACAGTGGCTTATGCTACATCATTTGTTCACATTCAATCATAAATGAGAATATCTTCTGAGTAACGAAATCAATTTAAACTGCCTTCGGGGCGAACAGCACCTGTGCAGGAGCCTATGCCAACTATTTTCAACGGCTAGAGATTAGTTTAATGTTAGAGTAGCGACACACAATTACAAGCGTGGATGATACAGTGGGAAGATGTCATGACCTGTGACACAGCAATCATAGGATAAAGGCATTAGGAAGAAGAAAACGCGGAACAATTCCGACACTTTTATTCTTTAGCTGCCATTTCTTGTTCCAATATCATCAATCTACGCTGATCGCATCTTGACACATTGCATGCTCTAGGGTAGGTGTACTGTTATCGGCTCTGCCAATCTTATCGATAAACAGCCGAGTAGATAAGACACCAACACAGCCGTGTCTAGCCGGTCTCCCAGTTTCCTTTGACAACTTTCCTCACATAACAGAAACAACTCTAGGCTCACAACCAGATGTTTTCACGGTCACAAGTATTTGATTTAATGTTTATTTTCTTAGTAGACCCAGCAATGCAACAGATGCAGTATCATTTCGCCCAGCGCAGTTAGACATTATCTCTTAGTCCATGGTCAGAAACACAGCTGCTAGCCTTGCTGTCTGTAAGTCAAATAAACTCGAAAATAAACTCCATTTCGAGTATCTTCTCAAAAATCTAGCCCTTTCGACTGAGACTAAAACCGAGATCAAGTTCATTGGCGAATATGGAGAACTCGATACTGCGTGTGATGAAGCTGACGTGATGCGCTTGCAAGACCCAAGAGTGCTGATGTTCTTACCATTGCCCCTTGCTACATTACCATCTCTTGACACGGAGCGTTGTGGCTTGGTGGTTAATATTAATTGGTTGTCCCTCGCTTTTTGATCTTTCCTCCAAAAACACTACCAATGCGAGCTCCATTTGACTGATGTTTGATTCCTATCTACTATCTCCCAGGAACGGGGCTTTCGTTGAGGCTTTCCATTTATGTTCAACTGTCTGGCCTTTCAGCCTGATGACCCTCTAATTTTCAGACGCAATTCTAGAGGATGTCATGATCCTCGGCACGACATACCTTAAGAGGACACCAATCGAGGGACTGCAGGCCATTATAAGAGCAACTATCGCCTCGAGGTCTGCCCTGACGAGAATCTGAACATAATCCCATGTCAGACTCACTATTCGATGAAGTACTGTAGCATAGTACACCTGAATGCAGGATGTGATAGTACCGAATACGCCCAAGCTGAACATGGCGATGATATCACACCTGGTTCAAATGTGTAGACTGAGCTGAGTCAATATGTGCCTGTACCCATACTACTAAGCTCGGTTCAGTTCAAGTCGGTCTCTAATCTTCGTAGCTGGCCTTTGTCGTTCGAGAGGAAGAGTGAATAACGAAAATTCCCCCATAGGCCTAACTCGACATTAAATATCCACCTATGATCCAGGTAATTTACAATACAGAAAGTGTTTGGTTGATCCCACCGGGACGGCCATGCTGTCAAGGCTATTTTACGCATTTAGTTGTCGTGTTCATGTAGGTGAAACTGAGTTGGGACTGACATCCGCTGCGGGACATGTAGATATAGGTTCCTCGATAAGCTACTAAACTGCTTGAAACTTGGGCCAAAATTTCTCCTCCGCAGTAAGGATCAACTTCCATTGCTCTCGCGCACGGGCAGATAATTTAGCTTTGATGCCCTCCTGATGAAGTTTGATTTCCTGTTCCACGGAATCATCAATCAGCTTTCCCAGCCTCTCCACAAATACGTCCCACTCTGGGTTAGACCATCGAGGAATCAACAACTGTCTCAAGATTCCATCATCCAAGTCTCTACTTGCATCGGAACCAGACTCAACTTGAGATCTCGCCCATTTCCATGCATCCGTATATATCTTGTCAGTTGCATAGAAAAGTACAGCAGATTCCAGCCAGGGCAGAAAAGTGCTGTCGTTGCAGGCTATGGAGCCGAAGAGTGCTTCAAAGCGACGCAGCCCTTCAATCTTGTCGTCTTCAGCGACCCAGTCATCACCATGGGCGGGCAGGTTGATGTTGATTCCGTATTTTGAAGCAGTTTCGGTCAGGAATATTTCCTCCGGACGCGCATTTGCGAGCCCCTCGACTGACAGGTCCAGAAACTCCATTACCGGGTCAGGCGCTTGTGCATTGCCCGAGATGTGCGGCAGCTGGAGTGAGCTGAGAAGGCGCCCGACTCCTTTGATGTATGCATGGAGAAACAGCCGCTCGTTTGCGAGCCACTGGCCGAGGACCTCTTTCGGTACTTTGCCAGCAGCGGCGGCGGCCAAAAACTGTGGCTGCGTGGCCCGCTTGTAACCGGCCTCGTCGGATTCAATTAGCAGTGTGGTAAAAGAGGGCATATTTGCTTGGCTCTCTGCTGGTAGAAAGTAGTTATCTATGGTCGGATATCGGAAACTACGGACGCAGAGGCTGGATTGAGTAACTGCTGAATATGAATGGGATGATGAACATTTACACGAGACACACTGTTGAGGGGTTGACATCACGTGTGAGCGTTTGTGTTTATGATCGCGTCATAATGATTCACAACTGGCCATCTCGACGTAGCATAATCATGTTATCATGGCTGGTCCAGCCAGTAAGGAGATGGGTGCCGCTCCTGTGAGCCACATGTGGCACAATCTGCTACCATCTTCTGCCAATCGCTTAAGCAACAGGAACAAACAAAAATCATTGGGCTAACTGGAAGCGGGGTGAGGGTTGGCTCATGACCTGCTCAACCGGTTTACGATGTGACACTTCATCCCACCGCAGCAATATTTTCGAGCTACCCTATACCAATTGATAAGCGCTGAAGAGCTTTGAAACATTTGCCGACAATGCTACCCAATTAGTCTTTACTTTGGGCATCTTATCACAATAATTGCCTCTAAGAGTGGCGCAATTAAGGCATCACTTAATGACGAGACCAGAGTTGGAGATCCAATAAAAGGGTGAATTCTTTGCGTTAGGTAAAAGGAAACAAGATGGGTTCACAACGTCCAATATTTTATTCTGGTGTACGCTACATTGTTTGCACAGCGTCTTATGCAGACTGAATTTGCACAATTATTGCTAGCTTTTGACAGAAGTTACTTTTCATTTGAGACCTTGGCGAGGACCGCTCGTAGAGCTCTAAGCGCCCCATCTTGACTATCTCTATGTCGTGTTCTACTACAAAAGGGGCTTTGACCACCTAGATCAAAAAGACTGCTGCAGCCGTCTAGCTTACGGGCTGCAGCGATGATAGGTCTTATCTAGCGTGATATGTCACATATAATGATTTAGAAGTTAACACTCTTCATAGCTTCGAGAATAGGCTAGATCATAAGGCGATGCTGATTCTGTAGAGTGAAATTACATCGAGCGTAGGAGAGATTCACGTCTCAGAACATAAGCCTAGCAAGCAAACAGGCGATTCCTCCTGACGGTCTAACCAGCGGCGAAAAGCTACATATCTGGGTCCGCAAGAAGATAAGGCTGGTTTCTATAGTTAATAAACGGCTTGAACTGCGTGCTGGCTCACCTTCAGTTCTCGGACCTTAGACAACCATGGAACAGGGGTTTCATGAAGATGGAGACGACGGAGGCAAAGTCTTCCCTTACAGCACCCTAGCCAAGTTTGAGGCAGGGTCATGGATACAATGAAGTGAATATTTCTTCGGGCTCGGATTTTCGGGAAGACTTCCGACTCTGGGGGACGGGACCCAGGCGGCGCCATTGCACAAGGAACAACATGGGATGCACGGGGCATCGAAGACGGAGAAAATGAAATGGAATTACACACCACAGCAGCTAGTTTGGAAGAAGGCGGCGTTTTGCCAATATTAACTGGTTCGGAACAAATCACAGCCGCGTTGGCGTAGGATGAACCGTTGTGCCTGGATTGGCTATTGAAACAATAATTTTAATAAGAGTAAGCTTAATCAAAGTAGGTAGCCTATCCCGCGTGGCGTCTTTATCAAGGGAGAAAGGCCTATATTGAAGAACGGCTTCTTCCACAGGCAGTGAAGGGGGCCCTGCAAGAGGCGAGTTTCGCTGCGCTTGGCGTAATTCAACTGAATTCTCTTGTTTGTTTAAATTTCATTTCTTGAGCCTGTGACGGACCGTGAGGATGATCTATTTACTGGGCCAGCAGCTAAGATCTATATGACGCCGACAACCGATGCTGTTAGTTATCCGAAGACCGAAGTCATCTTATGATCGTGACACTAATACCCTGGTGATGTTCCATGGTCTCAAATCCCTTTCCAGTTGACTAGCCAAGGATAGAAACGCGCGATGGTTGTTTTGCATGGATGTTGCCCGCACAAGCGACGTTACACTCGCGGTATTAAATGGTCCGGAAAATATCCAGGTCAAAAAGACGCAACGTACACTGGGCTATGCCAGGGCTATAATATGACTGGAATACTACATGGACACGGAGGTATGCTTGTATGGCCGACCCCAGAAATAAATGATAAGCGATGGCTTCGCGATTCTGCCAGACCTCTGCCCAGGGTTTATCCCCGCCCCCCTGGAAGGGCTCTCGAAACGAGTTCGGCTGTCGCTGTTATCGCCCGGTTAGACTCTCTGTTGGAATGGTATGACGCTTGCCTGCAACTCGTACGAGCTATGTGGTAGCTGTTTCAGCCGTGAACCAAGCTGATATTTGCATGCATCTGCAGACACCAGTAAGAGCTTGGTAATGGAAATAGAATCATACGCAGAAGAGCTAGCCAGAGGCAACTTTGGCCATGGTGCACTAGTAGCAGGGGTTGATGATGACCCGTGGTGACCGGTGATGACTAGCGTCCTGAAATCAGAGCCTAAACGCGTGCAAGGATCATTATTTATGCAACTGACAGCTCCCTGCTGGCCCGCAGTATGGGGTTGTCAGATGCCTGTCCGACATAAGCAGCAGACACGGAGCTCCCTGTTCTGCCTGCTTGGTAAAATAACGATCAACATTCTCAATCGGATTTTCGTTACAGATCTTGTTAGAGCCAGCGGAGGCCCCGCTGGAGCACGCAAGAGCTGGAGGTAAGGTAAACGAAATATAAGATTGCCGCCGAGGAAAGGTTTGTTGGCTTTCACGTCCTTCTACATTTGGCATACGATTCAGGAAGGCAAACCAATGTGCGTGTCAGTCTCGCATACAGCTGCCATCTGCGGCCCAGCAGCAGTAGCCGGAGTTTTTTTCTGGAATGGGATTCCCGGGGAACGATATTGACCGTACGCTAAGTGAGTCTGGTGCACATCAACAAAGCAAATATGACTTTCAGCTGCTTTGAAATGCAGCGACCACGAATACACGGTACAGAGCTTGGTAATGTGAGCTTGGCATGAACTCCGATATCAAGTCCGCAGGAAGAAAAAACCGCACCTTTCGGCCTTTCGGAGCTGATAGTACCCTGGCTTTCAGCCCAATGAGGTTGGATCGATGTACGGTTTAGGATCTGCACAAATGATTGGATCCGGTACACTTCCCCGGAGTCCCATAACTATACCTAATCTATCTCGCTACGCTGACCAGTTGGTTGGGCTTTCCCAGTTGCAAGTTGTCTCGAAAGAGACTGGTGTTGCCCCTGCGCCGCCTGACCCCCCTGTAACAATCAGGTTTTGACTCCCACACACTTGTAGCATAAACTTGCCTGCAAGTTACCAATGCATGTCAGACAGGCTCGTGCAACGCTGCTCTGCTCGCCAGTGACCCCAAGCCTGGTCAAATGAAGGATACGGCGACCCCTGAGCGAATCACTGTCTCCCTGCTAAGCAGCGGGAGAGCGGCCGTCCCATTGAGCTCCGGAAGATGGATTTGGCAAATTGGAAAAAGGTGTGCCCAATGAGACTCGACACTAGGGCCATGGTAGGATGCATGGCCTTGTCCTTCCCTTTTCCCCGTTGGCACTGGCCTGGGGAGGCATGAATGTGCGATGCATGAAAACTCACCGTGACTGGGTTTATCCACTCCCTGCATGCTTTTTTCCTAGGGGTTTTCCATCGGGAGATGGACAGAGACGTGCGTCGGTTAGCAACGTAGCGCAAAACGTACATGATTTCAGCCGAGTTCGAGGAAAGTTCTGATGGAGGGAATCCAATGCCGTGTTTGCTTTTTCTGGATAATTATGAGCACCGGCCCCCACAAGCTCTAGAGTTTGGATCTCCTTGGAGGAGTTCGTTTCGTCTGAAGAAGGGTTCGATACAAATGCCCGGTGACGCCACGGCCGAGTGAAATTTTCGTCTGGAC